TAACACAATTTGTCGCTGCCCTTAAATATATTGGACATATTTCAAGAATAACTGGGCAAGCCAAGTATGATAGCACTCATCTGTAATCCCAATACTTGTCAACTGAAACATTAGGACTGCAAGTTCAAGCCCAGCCTGGGCTGCCTCAAAAGAAATGAGAGGTGGGAAGCGGGACAGGGGAGAAACAGACAGAGACAGAGAGACAGAGGAAAGGAAAAAAAGAAAGAAAAAAGAGAAGGAGAAAGACTGAGGAAGGAAGAAGAGGAAAAGGAGGAGAGAGGTGAATAGGGAGGTAAGGAACAAGTGCAGGGAAGAGGGAGAAAAAAAAGAAAGAAAGAGCAATCAAAATGAAAAGGAGATAATAGAACAGAAAAGAAAAAGATACAAGAAAAACCCTTAAACTTAGAAAGTATGATGTACACTTGTTTTGCAGTTCACCAGATACTCTTGAGAAACAATGAGAAATTATTGCTTAATACTTCAATCATTAAAAATCCTGAAATATATCAATCAAAATACCTGAAAAAAAGAAAAATTGCTTATTTTCAAATTAAAACCTTACTGTCTTGAAATAACTTATGAAAACCTGATATATGGCTAATCAACTCTATAGGCTAGGGCATTAAATTTGTGCCAGAGTTGGGGTATCTAAGCCCACATGGACCTTCATCGAAGACAAAGGTGATCCTCACTAAGCAGATGGTCCCAATGCACAATGACTCTGTTCTTCCCACTTAGCAGATCACTAGTGGTTTTCATACTAAGAGTCTAGCCCAGAAGCAGACTGTGTAATTAGCCTTTAATCTGGCTTTTGTACAAACCACATCTTGTGGGTTAGATTGTATTCTCTGCCTCCACCTAAATTCTTGTGCTTCCAGTCCTAACCTCTAGTACTTCAGAATGTGACCATATTTGGAGGCAGAGTCTTTAAAGGGATAATCAAATTTCAGTGAGATCATTAGGTAGGGTCTTAATCTAATATGGCTAATGTCCTATATATGTATTTTAAAAGGGGGAATTTGTACCTATCACAAAGATAGCCAATTACAAGTGAAGAAAAAGACTTGGATGGGAATCTGTCCTTGTAGTTTTCAGAAGAAATAGCCTGCCAATCCCTTGATTTCTGTGACGTTTTCTTTTAAAATAAAGGTATCTGAAATTATATTCAATGTTATTATTTCTAAAATTTATGTTGAGTTAAAAGTGAGAGGTTTAGAATGCCTAGATTCCAGCTTTGAGTTTCTAATATATATTGTAACAGCTATATGCATTGTAATAGTTATGTTATACTATATTTTATAAAATGTATATGTATATAGTTATAAAAATGTAATATAAAATTTAATTTGTCTAAGATTATTTTTAAAATATAAGCAATCATCACAAAGAAATTACTTAACACTAAGACGATGCATTTTGAGGATTTTATTTTATTTAGACTTAAAAAAACGTAAACCTAAAAAAATGTAAACCTAGGCCCAGCACCAATGGCTCACACATGTCATTCTAGCTACTTAGGAGGCTGCAATCTGAGCATCTGTGTTAGAAACCAGCCCAGGCTGGAAAGCCCATAACACTTTCATCTCCAATTAGCCACCAAAAAATGCCAGAAGTGAGCCGTGGCTCAAGTAGTGAGTGTTAGCTGTAAGTGCAAAAACTCAGTGACAATGAGTTCAAGTTCCAAAAAAAAAAAAAGTAAACCAGGGTATATTGAGTGATGCTCTTTTAATATTGAAAGACCATAGATGATAAGTTATTTAAAAATTTTTAATTTGAGAGCTGTATCTCTAGTAATTCATAAAGTTTTCAGAATCATCTCTGCTCTATCTATCAGCTATCTCCTTACCTACAGAAAACTTTGCAATAATAACATTTTATAAGCAATTTTATCTAATGCATAACAGCTGAATTCTTGTTTTTCTATCTTCAGAACATTTCCAAAGTATGAGAAAGATTTCATTTGTTCTATAAAGGAGATAAAGAGAAACGCCCAATTTCTAAAGGTTAGATTACTAACTCCATTGCTAGCTCATAATTTGTTAGAAGTATTAGCCATGGAAATTAGAGAAAACAAGCGATGAGACATAAGAAGACTTAGAAAGGGGGTTTAGGGGTACAGCTCATTGGTAGAGCAAATACTCAACATGTTAGATACTTTGTTACTGAGGAAGCTAATTCACAATTAAATAGAAGAAGCCAATTTCACAATTACATTTTCCAATAGTATCATTATTCTTATTAGAATAGTCAGACTGAATACAATAACATTTAGGTTTTTCTTTTACCAATGTATTATCTTGAAAGAAGAGGGAAGGAAAGATTTAGGGAGATAAAAATTTCATCATTAACAAAATATTTACCAAAACAAAACTGAGCTAGAATATTATTGATTAAAAAGTGATTTTTAATAGTTCCTCAAATGGACGAGACTTAGTAAGGAAGATTCTATTAATAATGAAAAATAAAAATGCAACATTTTCTTTTCACATTTAAATGTTTGTATAATTTTGCAGTAATTGTCCCCAAATTCATAGATATTTATGAAATTAAGGTTGTAGCATTCTGTAGCAAAGTTATTAAGACACTAGAAAGTTGCTATTGAGTTTTTCTGGGACAAATAGTAATTTTTTTAGTAAATTTGATTTTCCTGATTGAAGCCATAAAATGCAGAAAATGTCATACTGTATTTTTTTTCCTGCAAATCTTGATAAGATTTGCTTTTAGAATAGCTCATGGAAAGAGTGATTTTTATCTATCAATATAGTATAGAAAGATTTTGAGAATAAATATGAAATTATTATTCTCTCCTCCCATTATGATTTTCTATTTTTTCTCTTACTTGAAACATCTAATTTTAAAAAGAAGTATGAAAGTTTATGCTTTTAACAGTCTTGTTAACAATCTTTAAGTAATATAGAGTATGTTTTTGCCATTAGTGCATGATCTGTGCTCATTCACAGTAATGGTGATTCTCACAAGGAAAACAATAAGTAAATACAATCTTTCACCAATGGAAAACAAATACAAAGAAAATGGATTTTAAGTAAAGTCATTTCTAAACTTAACTTGTGAGAGAGATGAAAGTTAAGAGAGTATGATATATACTTTCTATGATTAAAGTCAAACTTGACCTTCTTTGTTCAATAATATTGCTTGATGATGATTAATACTGTCAAGCTACTTTTTTTTCTTTCTTAGATAATGCTTCTATTAATATTAAACTATCTTTTGGATTTTGCTTCTTATTACAAATAAATTGATTAAATATACAAACTTTTTTTCTACACAAACTTCACTGGCTCCTAGGATAAAGTTAATTTTTTTTAAATCAAGAGCAATTTATGACACCATTATAAAAGCAAAAGAAAAATAACTCCAGATACTTATCGTTTTAAAAGATATAAATGTACTTTAAAAGATAGTTCTGTTATTCCAAATTATGGGAGAAATGCAGTTATAAATTTTATTTGTGAAGATGTGTTCAAGAGGTTTAAAATAAAAATCACGAGAGAAAATCTACCTCTTAGCAATTACTTGAAACTACCTACAATTGTCTACTACTTTAATTCATAAATTTTTTGTTGTTGTAGGTGGTGGTCATGGGGCTTGCACTCATGGCCTGGGCACTGAGCCTCAGCTCTTTTGCTCAAGGCTAGCACTCAACCACTTGAGCCACAGTGCCACTTCCTCTACTACTTCTTTATAAAGAATAATATTACATGAGAAAATGAGAAAATAAAATTTAGGTTGAATAAAAAAAAAGTTGGAAACTTATCTTCATTGAGTAGCTGGCTCTGATTGGAGAGATTCCTTTGGACATTTGACGCTCGAGTGAATATTTAGGGAATAGTAACTCCATCTATATTGATCTGAACCATGTCCCTTTAAAAGCAGAGGAGTAGGTGTCTGAGAAAGGCCATCATGCTTTTGAAATTACATCAGATATGGACTAAAACCCAAATTGCAGTGTTATTTCTTAAAACCTAGAAACACGCCACGTCCAGAAGTAGGGTTTTATGTTTTTCTGAAAATAATTGTCAGAATTCTACCATATGTGTGTGTATACACTCATATAAATTATATATATTATATAAATTATATATATTTATATTATATATCTATATAATATATAAATTATATATATTATATTTATATATTATATTATATATAACATATATATAACATATATATTATATATAACATATATATTATATATATATATACACACACACACTTATTCAGCCATTTGTCTGATACTGGTTATAGAGGAATACATCATGAGTAACAACAGTCTAAGTTTGAGAATTCAGGAACTAACAAGCGTTTTCTTGAGCGGGCAGTCCTTATTCCACAAACTGCACAGGGCCTGGGCGAGGCGGTGCTTATGTGGGTTTCCGTGGCCAGCCCGCTCACTCAGCAGGTTGTGGGACAGGACGGGCTCCGGTGAGGACCGGCTCTGGTGAGGCTGGGCCTGGCTCATCCGCCGCGGGTGGGCGTGGCCGGTGGGCGTGGCCTTATCACGACACAGCCCTGAGTCAGGCTGCACAGCGCGGGGGAGAGGCGACTGGAAGCCCCTCCATGGGGGAAAGGCGACGCAGGCCCAGCACTCATCCTGCAGACCTGCAGACCGAGGCGGGGAGGGGAGGTGGCGCTCAGGAGACGCCCAGGGTCACGATACGGCACGAAGGAGCAAGAACAGCTGCAGGCCCAGGCGCCAGGCCCGGCGAGCCGCGCGGGAAGGCCGAGCCCGTGCCCGCCCAGCGGAGGAAGGGGCGGGGCGCTGGGCGGAGCATCGCGCATGCTCGGACGCCGTTTCCACGGCAGCCGGGAGGCGTCACCGGAAGAGCCGCTCCCGGAACCCTCGGCGCGGGGACGACGTGAGTTAGTGGATTTCTGCTCACCGGTTCCGGAGCCCACTCCCGGCTACAGCCAGATGGGGAGCTGCGTCTGAAGCTCTGCAGCCCAGGCATTCAAAAGAAGAAGGAAGGGACGCAGGTGGTATGGCACAGCCTTCCGTGGAGACTTGCGGGTACCGGACGGGTGAGGTACCGAATGCCGGTTCACCGAGCTCCCGTGCGGGACAGCCACCCCCCCCAGCTCCCGTGCGGGACAGCCACCCCCCAGTTCACCCAGCTCCTGTGGGGAACAACAACCCCCCAGTTCACTCAGCTCCTGTGGGGGACAGCCACCTCCCAGTTCACCCAGCTCCCGTGGGGGACAGCAGTCTCCTAGTTCGCTCAGCTCCTGTAGGGGACAACCACCTCCCAGTTCACCCAGCTCCTGTGGAGGACAGCAGTCCCCTAGTTCACCCAGCTCCTATGAAGGACAGCAGTCCCCTAGTTCAATCAGCTCCTGTGGAGGACAGCAGTCCCCCCATTCACTCAGCTCCTGTGGAGGACAGCAGTCCCCCAGTTCACTCAGCTCCTATGGAGGACAGCAGTCCCCCAGTTCACTCAGCTCCTATGGAGGACAGCAGTCCCCCAGTTCACTCAGCTCCTGTGGGGGACAGCAGTCCCCCCATTCACTCAGCTCCTGTGGGGGACAGCAGTCCCCCCATTCACTCAGCTCCTGTGGAGGACAGCAGTCCCCCCATTCACTCAGCTCCTGTGGAGGACAGCCTGTGTCCTAGTTCACTCAGCTCCCATGGAGGACAGCAGTCCCCCAGTTCACTCAGCTCCTGTGGAGGACAGCAGTCCCCCAGTTCGCTCAGCTCCTGTGGAGGACAGCCTGTGTCTAGTTCAGTTGGCTCTTGTGGGGGACAGCAGTCTCCTAGTTCACTCAGCTCCCATGGAGGACAGCAGTCCCCTAGTTCACTCAGCTCCTGTGGAGGACAGCAGTCTCCTAGTTCGCTCAGCTCCCATGGAGGACAGCAATCGCCTAGTTCGCTCAGCTTCCATGGAGGACAGCAATCGCCCAGTTTGCTCAGCTCCTGTGGAGAACAGCAGTCCCCCAGTTCACTCAGCTCCTGTGGGGGACAGCAATCTTCTAGTTCACTCAGCTCCCACGGGGGACAGCCACCCCCCAGTTCACTCATCTCTGGTGGGGGACAACTCTGGTCCATTGCCTCTGAACTAGAAAGTGAAGAGCTGACTACCAGCTTGGAAGAAGGAGATGAGCAATCAGAGCTCTCAGCTCCCCAAAATAATGAAAACAGGTTGAGTCAAAGATGGATCAACCACCTCAAGGGCAAAGAAACAAACTCTGGACGATGCCAACCTGTTAGTAAACTTCAAACTGAAGTCACACAGGTATCTGATGAAGAATTAAATGCCCTTCAGTCTTTTTGTACGAGCAAGGTTAACCTGCTTCATCATAGAGTGGACTCAAAAGCGAAGAAAAGTAGCAGGCATCAGAAGCCGTCCGTTACATTGGATGCAGAGACTACAGAGGTTGACACCGGAATTTGTACTGTACCCGATGAACTTTGGAACAGAATCTATTTTAAAAACACAAAAGAAACTCTAAAACAAATAGCAGCCATTAAGGAACACATTCCTTCTCAGTGCCCCCATTGCAACAGCAAAAGAGCAGAGCTGGCTCAATCTGTCTTCATAAGACAAAAGAAGACTTTACTGGAAACACTTCTACTCCAAGAGAAAATAGATGAACATCTTCATACCACAGACTTTCTCACCCATGTTAGAGAAGCTCATCAGGCCCTCCCTAGGCTTTCAGATGATCCTAAATTAATCTGGAAAAGACTGACTGAGAAAATTCCGACTGGATACTCCGATTTTGAAAGGTCAGATACAAAGCAGAAGATGTAAGCAAGTTGGAAATAGAGCTCCTGATTCACCATTTACTCCACCACTTCTCAAGCCTCTTACTGGACTAAACTAGAGGTGGTGATTGTTAACAATAAATTGTGATGTGCACAGATACTCCTGTTGTATATTTGAGTGATCGCCATCATCCCTGTAGTCAACCTAGAAACGATTGTAAGGCCTGATTATACTTCCTGTGCAGATTTGAGGTATTGGGGACTTTGAAATACTTTTTGTTCATTTTAGATAACAGAAGGCAGTGCTGTAGCTGGAATAGCTATAAAGCATTCACAATACATGAAAACGGAAGAGTGAAATTGATGGTTTGGACCAGAGTGTTGTCAAAACACATGGAATGAAGTTCCACTATGCAACAGATTCTCAGGAAATAATTTCCTGTCTTGGTGATGAAATGACTATCGGGACTTAATAAAAGGTAACTGTCAACAGTGTTCATTAAGGTTCTGACTTGTGTACCTGGATGAATGATAATTTCAATAAAATATGAAATCCTGCCAATCAAAATGAAATAGGCATGTCATCCCAGGACTTAGGAAACTGAGGTGAGAAGATGAATAGCTTAATCTCAGTCTGGACTATATAGAGATAACATGTCTCCAGATAAATAAATAAATAGATGAGTACACTAGAAAAGCGCTATGTGTAATGGTAATGATCAACAGTGTAAATTTTTTGGATGTGAGTATCTTAAGGTATATTTGAGATTCATGTATTGAGAGTTTGAGGAAAAGTTTAATGAAATAAAGGAGGCAGGCAGGGAAATCTTTCCCCACCAGGCAAATAGTTGGAAATTAAAGTCATGTGTGTTTTCAGCAATTCTGGAAGGCCACAGAGAAGAGCTGAGTTAATCAGGACAGGGAATGCCAACAATTAAAGGGTAGGAAAAGCATAATGAGCTTGCATAATACCATAGGCTGGGCATTATGGGGTAAGCCTGAAATCCTAGCTATTTGTGGAAGAGAGATTGGAGAATGGCAGCTTGAGACCCAAGAGTTTGCAAGACTCCATCTCAACCCATGTGTGGACATGGTGGCATGCCCCATGTATGTGCCCTCACAGTTCTGGCCAACCTAGGTATAAAATGTGACCTACTTCAAAAATAATCCATGTGAAGAGATGGGCATGTGACTCAAGTGGTAGAGCACCTGCCTAACAAACACAATGCCTTCAGTTCAATAACCAGTACTGCCACACGCACACACAAAAAAGCCACTCCCCAACAAAAATAGAGAGAGCTTGGCACCAATGGCTCACAACTGTAATCCTAGCTACTCAGGAAGCTGAGATCTGAGGAGCATGGTTTGAAGCCAGTCCAGGCAGAAAAGTGCCCATGAGATTCTTATCTCCAACTTCTTAAAAAAGCCGGAAGTGGTGCTGTGGCTCAAGTGGTAGACCACTAACCTTGAGCACAGAGAGGCTCAGAGACTGTGCCCAGGCCCTGAATTCAAGCTCCAGGAGCAGCAAAACATAAACAAATAAAAAACCCAAAAACAAAAAAAAACATAAAGACAAAAAAAAACCCCAGAAATGTGTAATGGTTTGGCAGTCAAAAAAAGAATATCTAAATGGCTTGTATATGCATGATGACGTGACAGATCGACACATAAAAATGGTTTAGTAATACATTGGGCACTGATAAATTTAATGATAACAATTCCACTTATAGACATGAAGATAAAGTAAATTGAGGAAGAAGTATAAAGTAAGAAGAAATGAAATATATGAATAAGTCTACTTCAAAAGTTTAGCTGAGGGGCTGGAGGAGGGGTGTGAGACTGGAGGTGGAGGGCAGAAAACCTTTCTGAGGAAGATAATACTGTAGAATGTCTATTGTTCATCTTAATTCCCACTCTAAGGAAATAGTATTATTCCTCCAGGAATACTATGGCATTTTGAGAACATATTTAAGAAGGAAAATATTATAAATCATTTTCTCTATGTCATCTGAAATCCTAGAATTTATGACATTACCTGAGGGTCATTTTGTCCATGTCTAACAAGTGAAACAGAAATTTGTTTGTGACTCTTTGTGTGTATGTGTCTCTCTCTACATGTGTGTTTACATATATATAAACATCTTTTGAGCCCTGGGGGGTTGGGCTAGAACTCAGGGCCTGGGCACTTTCTCTGAGCTCTTTTGCTCAGGGCTAGGCTAATGCCAGAATACCACTTTAGTTTTCTGGTGGTTAAGTGGACATATTGTTGTTTTTAATGTACTATGTGATTTTTTTTGTTTCCTTTCTTCTTCCCCCTATGGTATATCCCCTATTGTCACTGTATTTGATTTTGGTACCTTGCATCTTGTATATACATTTGTCTAATTTGAGGAGGGGAAGGAAAATAACAAAACATTGAAACAAAGACACAGGATGACCCACTGCAACAGTGATACCAACAAGACAGTATATTGGAAAGGAACTTTACAACTTTGGGTGGGGAGCAGAGGTATGGGGGAGGTTGGGGAGGGAAAGGATAGTGGGAGAACAACAAGGGAAGGGGTAACAATGCTCGACAAGAAATGTACTCAGAGCTGGAATGGTGGCTCAGTGGTAGAGTGCTTGCCTTGCATGCATGAGGCCCTGGGTTCGACTCTTCAGTACCACATAAGTAGGAAGAAAAAAGCCGGAAGTGGCATTGTGGCTCAAGTGGTAGAGCGCTAGCTTGAGCTGAAGAACTGACTGACAGCACCCAAGCCCAGAGTTCAGGCCCCACGGCCAGATCCCCCCTCCCCCGCCAAAAAAAAAAAAGAAATGTACTCATTGCCTTACTCATGTAACTGTAACCCCTCTGTACAGCATCTTTACAATAAAATTAAATTAACAAAAAGAAATTTGTTGTTAAAATTAATACAAGAGTGTGTATTATTTTGATTTTAATGTGGAGTTGAAACCTTCTTTATGCATAAAGATGATCTTTTTCCTGTAAAATTTCCTCTTAGTATGTAATTCCTAAATAAGTGGAAATTACCATTTGCATAATGTTTTTATTTGAATTCTGCATTATGTCATGCTTTAATCTTTGGCCTTTAAACATATTTACATGTTATATATTCAAAATTTGGAATAATTTTCCATTTAGAACTCTCCCATTAAAGGTCATGTTATAACCTTTCAGTCAATCAAGCCGGAAATCTTAGTCATCTTTGTTCCAGCTCAAGTGTGGGCCATTTTCCAACCAAGTCATTAGCTTGCGCTTCTTTAACATCTGACTGGACTTATTTTCATCTTTACTACTCTTAATCATCTCTGCTCTCCTATTTGTACTTTGTTCCCTCTTCAGACCATTCTCCATACTATTATTGGAGTTGTTTTTCTAACAGGAATGGGAGATGCTCAGCACATGGACCTTATAAGGTCTAATGAATCATTTGGTACAAGATAGGATAGACATGTATGCTTCTGTGCTCCTTGCTGGCTGCCCATGGCCATCTGCCTATATTGATAATTTTGTATGGACCAAGAATGATGTTAGAAATAAGCAAGTTTCCCTTTTCATGTAAAATGTTCTTGTCCAAATAAAACTGCTTGAGTGATTCTATTAATGTAGAACAAGATGCATTGTACTTATAAACTGACATGTTGAAATGAAACCCTTTTGTACAACTATTTAAAAATAGTAAAAAGTGAAACCTAAACATTGATCAAGTTTTATTAAATTCGCATACTATTTTGTTGAATAGCAACTCCTTCATGCAACTGCTTAAAATTAAAAGTTAGAATATAAAAAGAAGTCTATAAGCTAATACTGTTAACTAAAATTATATGCTATATTAAAAACTATAAATTACTTCATGAGAGTTTTGTTTAGAAATTTGTTTTTACATCAATAAGACCACTGTTAAACTTTAAAAAATAAATAAAAATTAAAAAGGCAACAACCTTATTTGAATGGTTATTTGAATTAATGTTATGCATAAGTTCTTTAATTTCTTTATTTTTCCGGTAAGTTCAAGCTTCTTGATGGGCCTTGCCATTTCTTGAGCTCTGCTGTTCTTTGTATCACTGTGATCTACACTTGTGTAAATGCTCTTAACTGCTTTCTGCAGGTGCATTCTTCAGTTATTATTTTAGATTTCAAATATTGTTCTAAATATACATTTACATGATCAAAAAGACCCCAAAAGGATATGAGAAGAATAACTTCAGTCATCATATCCCTACATGTCACTGTTATATTTTCACTGGACAGATCATTCAACACTTGCTGGAACATTCTTCTGGGATGAGAGAGCAGATGGAGGAAAGTCAAAGAATTAGGAAGTGATTATTCACCAGGAAGGATAGAATTATGTATTTATGTTTTGATCAGTAAAGCTTTATTATTGTACAGAGGTTGAAGAGGAATATTACCTATGTACTACCACCCGTATGGTTTCTTTTTTTATAGTTTCTTATATATTAGTTTGATGCTTTTCATCGCAAATACAAACACAAAGGTCAGATTACCATACACTATTGCCATGCTTTGTGTAACTGTTCCTCAAAGGCCTATGTGTGAAAGGCTTAGATCATCTGTGGTGAATCTGAGAGGGGATGGAATCTTTAGTGGATAGGGTGAAGAGGGAGGAAAGTTAGGTTATTGGGGGCATGGTTTTGAAGAGGATATTGGGACATAGCCCCTTCCTTACTGCTTTATAGTCAAGTACTCCAGCCATGATGTCCTATGCCACCCTAGGCCCCAAAATAATACCTCAACCAACCATGAACTGAAACCTTCATAACTGTGGGCCAAAATGAACTATTTTTCTTTTTTCAAGTTGTGTAATTTCAGATATGCTGACACAGTGATGAAAAACTAGCTAATATAAGCATCTTCACCTTGCTTTTTTGTGGTCAGGTAATACATGATATAAAATTGTCATTGTGACCCTTGCTAACAGTGCCATTCTGTGATGTTATATTTGCTATGTTGTGCAACTATCACCACTGTTTCCAGAACTTTTCATCACCTCAAACAGAAATTCTAAACCCATTAAGCAATAACTCTTCCTTCTCTCCCCTGCCTCAGTCTCTGCTAACCTCTGATATACTTTCTGTTATTATATATGTACTTGTTCTAAGTATTTCTTTTAACTGGAAGCATATGATGTTTGTCTCTTTTCATTTGGACTTATTTTACTGCATAAAGTTTTCAAGGTTCATCCATGTTGTTGCATAAGGGCCTCAGTCATTTTATTGACTAAATATTTTAATGTATGTGCAGATTATGTTTGTCCACTCATCCCTTGGTGGACATTTACATTTCCTTTTGTTCTATTTTTTGTTGTTCTTCTGTGATACTGAGGTTTGAACTCAGAGCCTCCCACTTGCTAGACTACTCTTTGAGCCATACCTCCAATCCTTCTGCTCCTTATTTGTTCAGATTGGATCTCAAGGATCTCATACTTTTACCCAGACTAATCATAGATTATAGTTTTCCTAACTCTCCCCCCCATGAATAGCTGGGAATTATAGCTGGACACTACCAGTGAAGTCTTTCAATCAAACCATTTTAAATATTTGTCTATAATTTCTCTCACTGATATTTTATCCTTCCAGTGTGT